CTTCTTAAACAACTTTTCCAAGGAAAGACATTAAGCCACCTGTTGATTATCACCAAAAAGCCTGTCTGCCTATTGTATCCCACAACATGGACCTTAGCCAGCATGTGATCTGCTAGCTAATGCTGAAGTGTCTGCATAAGGCAGAGGGGCGAGGGGAATAATCCCATGAGAGGAAGTGTCCACTTTCCCATGTTATTCTTTAGTCATTTTTCATGCACTTTGTGGGGTCTGTAGCTCTATACATGATTATCTCTGCAGTTAAGTTGTCTTGACTCACATTTATTCTCTAGGTCTGTAGTTTAACACTCCTCCTTATTCCTTATGAGGTGTATCTGTTTGCCTTTAGGGAATGACATTACATCTGTTGTACCATTTACTCTTCTGACAATGCCTGCATATCTGAGAGTGGAAGACTCTTAATTTAATCTAGATTGACAATTAGCAGGAGAAAGAGACCACAATTTCCCAAATGCAGTTCTGTTCTCTACTTCATAGTTCTGAGGATATGGCAAATGAGACATGATACCATAAATGGAAACATGGTGCATACATCCATGTAAAATACTAAAAAAGTCATTATTGGTAGTTGGGCATAGTTTGCAGTCTTGCTTCACATGCAGTAGATTGGGCTTTGACCAGGAAAATATGTGGCTCTTTATGTATCTACCTGTGCATAATTCCCAAAACTGTAGCTTTGCAAAAGCAAAGAGGGCCTTCCTGTGTTTTAGCTCCATAGCCTAGAGGTTATAGCACTTCTCTAGGAAGCTAGAGATTAATCAAACCTGCTCCACATTCTAACCAGAATGCTCCAGTGTCGCCTCACAGTCACATGTATTAAGTCCCTGCACATTTCAAAATACTTGCGGAGGCACTTTATCTGAACCTGGTTTAGATAAAGCATCCCATGGCTATTTTGAAATGCACAGAGGCTTAAAACATGTGATGGTGAGCCATTTTAGTTAAAGCAACTTTCTGGGAACAATTCTAATTAAAGCACTCTCCCCCATCACCCCTGAGCACATGTATAAGTAGCATTAGTTTTTAAAGTCTTGACCTAAAGGCCAAATTCAGCCCTGAGAGAAATGAATGCAACTGCTGTACTCTAAATGAAGTTTACAATACTGCTTATATAAGTCTCCATTTGGCTCCCCATTTGGGGCTCTCTTTCATTTACAATTTTTATGAATATTCTTGTGTCATTTTATCATTTTTAGTGTAAGTATATTTTATACATTTGACCTTCATTTAATAATCTCTGCGCAAAAGGAAAATTCTACCTCTTTCCCATAAATATAAAACATACTGAAACACATACTTCACAAACTGTCTGTTGTTCCCCTAAAACCTACTTTCTATTTGTGAGCTTTCTGATGTGATACTTCCTTTTACAACCCAGCACATCATTCTTTTACTATTTCCCTTCTGAACTGCAGTGAGGAATCACACAATGAAAACAATCATTCTTCATTATAATGAGCTTCCAAACTAGTCAGGTTTTGCTTTTGGCTGGTCCCAAATTTTGTCTGGACTTTGACATTTTCAACTATCAGTTGTATCTGTCAGATCAGTTGTATCTGAAACCATGACTGTCCAAATGGGAAAAAAGTATCTGGTAGCAGTGCATCCTGCTAGAAAAAGAAACTGCCTTTCCACTAAATCAGCAGGGCACATATGCCTTATCAGCTGAAGACACCTAAATCAAGGCACCTGCATTTTTTACAAACTGGTGTAGGGATGAGAAGAAGCCTCTTAAATGTAGTGAAGGAATGCAAAAAACAAAAAAAAAAGAAATATTTGTTTTAGCAATCAGAAAAAAACATATTTTTCCCTCACTAATTTCAAAGTACTGCATGTTTTTGCATATGTTATATTATGAATACAAGGTGTTTCATTGCTGTGATACAGTGGATGGTCACTGCTGATATGGCGTGTGCCTCAGTGGATTAAAGAAAATATATGAATTAAAGGTAACTGCAAATATAAACATCCCATTCTGAAGTCCCTGGATTTTCCTGAGCATAGGATCAGAAGCCAGGACACCTGGGTTGCAATCCTGGGTCTGACAGTAACCATGTCCCATGGGTTTGCCATCCTGTTAATGGTTCTTTTCTTTTCTTTTGGATAGAGTAGCAAATACCGGGCCACAGTCTAGGTACTGATTCTCAACTAGGGTGCTTGGGCACCCTGGGGTGCCTCCCAATCCTTTCAAGGGTGCCCCACAGTGTGAGGAGATAAGTGAAGTGCAAGGAGATAAGTAGATAAATACAGACTCTGGCTTGTCACTGCCTGAGTGATCCCCCACTATTGGCCAGCCACTCTGCAAGGGGGTAAGCACTGTAATATATACATTAGTTTTTGAAATGGGGTGCCACTAAGTTCACAAAGTTATGGAGGGGTGCCTTGAGTCCAATGTGGAGAGCCTCAAGTCCAAAAAAATTGAGAATGACTGGTCCAAGAAAAAGGGGTCTGGAGCAGGTCAAAGATGGGGCTTTTCTGGCTGCACCAAGCAAAAATCAGCCATTTACTTCCATGCCTAAGTATGAAGTTAGGAGCCCAACTATATGCTCCTATGCATTTTTGGCTATACTTCAGTCCCATGATCTGTGACATCATCATTATCATGGAGCTCATCTTTCCATTCACCATAGAAAAACATGGATTTTTCTCTTTTTAAGGAGAAAAATGCAGGGGACGCTTGGTGTGGGTGTAGTAGCATGGAGTTGTGCTGCCAGGTGGGTCAGCAGTGCCTTGCCATGGTGGTGTGGGGCTCCTGGTGACAGCACCAAGCTTCTGGCCTCAACCCGCTCTGCCTTCCTGCACCACGTACAACCCGCTGGGCCACAGAAGCCCCTGGGGGGAGGGCAGCAGGGCAGAGAGGCAGCCCACATCTGCCCCCCATATTGGCTCCCCTTAAGCTGTGCTGCCCATGGGACCATGCTCCACTCCAGCCTCAGCAGCCACTAACTCCCACAGGTGGGAGCTGGGGCCAGGGCCAGGTTTTGAATTACACTTTGACTTTTGGGGGGCCTGCAAAACTAATTGGGCTGTGCATCACAATGCCCTAATAAAATCAGAGACTCCACTAGGTTATAATTTTCAAATCTTACAGGGGGGTCTCATCTCTTATGGGAGGGCTCAGCTCCCCCAAGTTCCCTGTAATTCAAACCCTGGCTACAGCATTGTTGGGGAGGGCAGGGAGCTGTGGAGCCAGGTCCCTGGCCCCATCGCCCTGGCAGCTGGGGGCCACCTCTGGCGGGGGGGAGCAGGGGGCTGTGGGTAGAGAATAGCAGGGCCAGGGAACTGTGGGTCAGGAGTGAGGAGAAACAGCAGGGCCCAGGGGCCTCTTGGTGGGGAGTGAGGGGCACTGGTGGGGCTGGAGGACTGTGGATGGGGAGTGAGGGGCACTGGCAGGGCTGGGGGGCTGTGGGTTGGCAGTGAAGGGCAATGGCATGGGCACGGCACTGGCCTATCAGGGCTGCTCAGCACCACAAAGTTTTGGTGGGGAGACAGCCACAGCTGGGCCCACATCCTGGTGAGTGAAGAGGGCAAAGGGGCCTCTGATTTTCCATGATAAAAACCCTTAAATCAAATGCCAAAATGTATAGGTATTTAGAATGTTTTATTGTAGTGATTGAGGCACTGGTAGGCTTCCAATTTGATTTAAAATTGTAAATATATCAAAACATTGTGCTCAGCTGACACCTATCATGGCATTTCATTTTACTCATGGAAAAATGCATAGTTGAGGGGGTTTAATCAGAGAAGTCACAATTTTTAAACAGAAAAAACCAAGATCCTTGATCATTATTGGTAAGTGTTACATTTTCACTTGAGGAACTTCTGGTGTGGTACTGGTGTGGCCACTCCAAGGTGCCCTTCTGTGGCCACTCTTGGGATGTCAGTTTTGGTGCGTTTGAGAGCAGCTGCTGGGGAGCAGCTGTACAAGTGCATTTCCAGGTCAGACCATGACCATGTCAGTAGGGCAAGCGAGAGACATAACTGTTGACATCTCAGACAAGGCACATTTCGCTGCAAAGCAGACCTACTCAAATTGATTTGCTCAGTATAACATGGGAAGCCTGAAATGGAACAGGGTAGTAAATCCAAACTTCGTAAGTCCAAAGCTAACATACCTACCACTGGCCCATCCTTCCCCTCCATACCTAATACACAGATGGTCCTGTGAAATACTGAGCAAGTGTGACCTTGGTGCAAAGAGCAACCAGAAGCCCTGGACCTAGTTAAGTCCCATGGAGGCCTTCAGACTAAAGAGGCCTTGTGCTGTTCCTTTGCTTAAAGATGAAGTCAGTTATTGCTGTGCTAAATGAATGACAGTCAGGTTTATTATTTAAAAAGTATCCTTCTGAAACAACAACTGAATAGGAGTAATATCATTATTAATGTAACATATTATACTCATTTCTTTAAGTTACTTAGAAAAAAAATATTGTTTTGTTTTGCAGGTTGGTTACTGGAATGACATGGATAAATTAGTTTTAATTCAGCATGAACCTTCCCTTGGAAATGATACTTCAGCCATTGAGAACAGAACAGTAGTTGTAACTACAATTTTGGTAAGGTTTTTTTTTCCCCTGTGTGTTCATTTGTGTATAATACAAAGCCCTTTCTTGTAGTCCAATTTAGTCTGTCAGCTCTGGGGTTTGTAAAGGGTGAAAGCTGCGTGTCTTAAGTATCTTGACTCTCACCTCCGTACAGACTATTTGTGGTGTGCACTTGAAATAATCATTTGAAATTGGTTTTTCAAATCAAATTGAGGGAAATTTATCCATTTTTATTGAGATGTTTCTTGCTGTCCTTTGAAAGCCTTCTCAGGAATGTAAATGAATTCTGTCAACAGCTGATTGATGAATTGTGACTTGTAAGACAGTGAAAGAAAAGAAAACCCAAAAAGATATAAAGGAAAGAATTGAGAGAAGGGCATAAAATCTGCCTTCTGTAACAGCAGGTGTCATTTGGTTAGTACTATAAATTCAGGATAGGTTTTAGGAAAGTTAGCATTCCAGCTCTGGATTATTTACTTTTCTATAGGAAAGGAAGAGAAAACTTAGAAATGTCACTAGTTATTTGTTAGTGTCCTTATAATGCTTATATTCTCTACTTCAACTGATGCAAAATATAAGTTTTTTAACAAATATTTTTCAATGATGCATTTTAAAGGCCTCCTGGAAAGTGAGGAAAATGTAATTGCTTCATTCATTCCCATTAATAGAGACATGTACAATTTTTTAAAAATATATGTTCAAGGGATACCTTTTAAACAGAATATCTAACATTTTTCCCTCTGAAGTCAGAAATGCCCTTTCAAGTTGATGTTTGTCAAAGCAGACTGGCAAAGGATGACCTTTACCTGGCTAGTTTAAAAATTTTACACCTCAGTTCACTGACCTTTTCATTAGACAAGACATTTTTAACCATCCAAGATAGGGAATGTGTTGATTAGGGAGGAATAGTCTTTGTGTTCTTAAGGAGAACTTTTCTAAACTGAATTGAAAACTAACCAAGGGACAGAGTGGAATTATTCTGAAGCTTTCTGAGTCAAAGAATGAAGTTAGCTACCATATTGCCTGTATTATGTATCAGCATTTGTGTAGTGTGTCCTGACAAATCTCCTTTTGAAGATTATAATTTTAGGATCCAATTCAGCCAACATACTATACAGCCATTCAGAATGTAACTCCTAACCTAATTGTGTAATTTTTTTGCATGGGACTTTTACAAATTAATGTATCTTTTTTTCCTAAAAAAGACACAATAATGGAAAAAATTATACTTCAGTACAGTCCTCCTCTTTTCAGCCTCTGATGAAGAATCCTATTTTAAGAAATTGATCATGGAAGAAAAGAGTCCCACGATGCTGCGAACATTCCAATCTAAGGCTCAAGTATTAATCTCCAATGTAGTAGAATTGAGCTAATTTTTCCATACGGATTACTGTTCCTCTGACTGGATGACCAGGCACTGAACCACCGAGAAAAGTTCTGTGACTATTCTGAAATGTCTAGAACAGATGACGTTTACCTTCAACTTTGCCAAGCTGAGAAGAGAATGATGTGAAAAACAAGCTCTCAATTGAATTTTTTCTCTCATACCAATCCTGGTATCTTTAATTGAGGCTTAATATACATGAACAATATAATCTCCATAAATAGCTCCAAGTTTAGGAGAAGGAAGTAAATAATAATACTATAGAAGGTGTCTGTTTGCCAAAAAGGATGTAGGGAAAAAACAAAAGCTTTTAAAATGTATTACCTTGCCTGTCCTGTTTGCATTGAAGCAGATTAATGTGCGGAATAAATTATCTCTTTAAAAAAACTTTCCCAATTCCTGTATGAAAAGGACTGGTGGTATCATTTTGCAAACCAAAAAGCTGAATCAGTTTTACAAAGCATGCCTTGTTTTCATGCAGCGTGTCATCTTGGAATAAGTACAATCTTTTTTCTTTTTTTAAAAAAAGAAAGAAATGTCACATGTTGACCCAGCGATTCCACTCTAAATATTTCATGATAAAGGTACAAAGCAACCAGAATTTGGTTTGAGTAAAAATACACGGTTAAATTCTGTCCTGAGCTAATTATGCAGCTCTCCCCTTGACCTTACAGGGAGCTGCACACTTGATTTTGAAGGCAAATTTTTTATATGCATTTGCAAAGGTAATATATTTAGAACCTAGAAGCATGTAACCACACAAAAATATATTTAACTACTGTATTTTTCAGAATCCTGTCATTTTCTTTCTATGTATTTTATTCCAATTGCAAAAAGTAGATGGACTTATGACCTCTTCACTGCCCTCTCCATGTTGAAGGAAAGTTATTTCAATATAGATGAAAATACCACTTTGGCTGCATGCATACCTTCCAACATTAAACTGAAAAGCTTCTGGGATCAGTGCTGTCAAGCTTTTCAGTATGTGGAAGGCAGATATCTAGGCACATTAAAAAAAACAAAAAACAAAAAAAAAACCCTAAGAGTTGTCAGCATGGCAAGCTTTGATTTTAGTCTGAAGCAATTCAGTACTAGCTACTTCACTTGCTGTCTTATTTTGTATGTGCCTGTGCTTTGTTTGCTGTAATGTTAATATTTTATTATTAAATATAAGATATGTTTTAAAAGAAATTAGATCTGTACCTAAACATCTTTGGTATTTATTTAGCAAAAAATGTTTACTTGTAGTACAGTAAATATGCTTAGATTTTATTTTACATATTTTATTTGGCATCCTAAAATAATTAGTTGCAGGTGCTTGGAGTAAAATACTGAGGAATTGGGTAGAATATTTTGAGCCCTCTAGTCTAGTGAAAAGTCTTACTCAAGAATGCAGACTACTCTTTCAGCCATTAAATTTTTCTAATATAAAAAGTTTCAAAAAAAAATTTACAAAAAAAATAAAAAAAGAAATATTTAGAACCAAAGAGCTAAAACCCTTGGTGAACTGGCATTATATAGCCGATTCCCAACTCAGGGCTTCAATGTAATAGGTTTAGTATTAGAAGACTAATAGCGTGCATTACAAATCTTTGCACCCAAAAATCATTAGGGCTAAGTAAAGCTAAAAGAACTGTAATTGATGTCATGTCCTGGTTGAGAAAGCTTCTTAAGAGAAATTAAGACTAATTTCTCATACACAAGCCAAATTTCGCATTTTAGAAGGTGGTAATTTTAATCAGTGTAATCTCTTCCTTGGCCAATCATTTTATATTGTCCAAAAAAATTCTAGATCTAACTTTTTTCTTCCAATATATAGTTGTATTAGATTTTTAATTAATTATAATTATTAGTTGGCTAGACAGAAGTGGAAACATTTTGCAGGCCAATACTAAATATTTCAAATGGAATCCTGAGCAAGTTATTAGAAAAGTTCCTTTGCCTTCTATAAAAGAATCTTGTGTTTAAGGCTTTTGTTGTTCTTATTGTGTTTGGAGGGGGGTTGTTTATTTTTCAAAACAGATGGAGACAAACTATTCCACTTATTTTCTTAAAGAAAATAGTTCCTGTAACAACTATTTTTCCCTATTGCAAATTATTTTTCCAATGATTTAGCAAATTCAAAGGGGCTTATTTAAAAATTAACCAAACACTGATTAGTTTGCTGTTAGAGTTAGTGTTTATTTTTTACTCTCTAGAGTTATTTCCAGTTGTGAGCATTTTACTGTACATTTGAGTTTATGGGAATGTGATGGAATGATTTGCTTAGCTATATAAAGGTGCTTGTTTCAGACATTGTTCTGTAATTAAATATGTTAAACTTTGTTAGAAAATTGTGAATAGTACAAGTAAAGCTTGCACCATTTTAACTATTTATGTCCCATGCTAGTCATTGATTGTTTCAATATGGTCTTTGTATGCCATTTCCTTACCCATAAAATACTATTAAGTAGCTCACTTACTGCAGTGTAAAATGCCTTTAACAATACTATATTTTACTCAAAATAAATTATATCAATATTTTCATTATCAGGCTAGAGTCTATATTCCAAAAAATGTAATTGTCACTTTCTCTGAAAGAGGTTTATAGAACAATCCATCTTGAACAATCCAGTGGGATAAACAGAAAATAGCACTAAGATATAAGAAGATGTACATTACTGATCTGTCAATACAGAATCAGAAAATTGCCTGAAATGGGGTGGGCAGGTAATCCTTCTAGTCAACTCTAGAAGGACATCAGTACTGTGCTAGTAGCAGCCTTGAAACTGATTAAGTTATGTCAGTTTCAAGGCTGCTCTTAAAGGAGAGTTGCTGTGGGTACAAACAGACAGTGGCTGTGTTGCAGCATCAAGCTGTGCTGAAATGTGTCCCAGCACAGCTTATCTGATTGATCAGCAGAGACAGACTTTAGTAGGGCCATTGTCCTGCAGGGTCTGGCTTTTGCCACTCCTGGGGCTTCAGAGGCCAGATCCTGTGGGAAAATAGCCCTGAGGCATGCATCTCCATCGGCAAGCAGGGGAACCACTGGATGCACAATATGTGAATAAACATTGTCCCCTTTAAGATGTCACAAACTGTGAGTATATTTGGTTGCTGAAACTTTTGGGGGCAATTGGAGCACAATAAAGGGCAAAGATGTCTGTTTACTCACAACTTGTTCTGCCATAAAAATATTTATGGTGGTACAAGGGTAATATCTGCTTGTACTTTCTGTGTAACAATGTAAGGAGATGTAATAAAGAGTAAACTTCTGTGGACATCCTAAGCACATACTCTTAGTCTAGAAACAGAAGTTGCCAAATGAAGCAATTCAGCTGTACCAGAAAATGGCGCGCCACAGCTGATCCACTTCACAGTTTTGCAGGACTGGCTGAGAAGAGAAAGCTCCCACAAGGTAATAGACATTCACCACAATAAAGTGGTAGAATCTATTACTACCTTTTGTTGTACCACTGGTTTTCCTGGCATGTGGTATAACAAAGGGTAAGGACATCTATTTGCTCATCATTTGTGCCACCTTAAAAAATTTTAAGGTGGCACAAATGAAAAGTCAGACAACATTTGTTTCCACCTTTAGGAACAAAGCTGGCTACCCATGTTAAACTGAAGTCATACAGAAGGTATGGCACCTTAGAGACTATTTCAGAGAACCATGAGCTTTCATAGGCAACAACCTACTTCATCCAATGTAGTTCATTTGTACCATTTGAGGAAGTAGGCTGTTGCCTGCAAAAGATAGTTCATAAGTAATGCCAGCCTGCCCTGCTTTCTTCATGACTCTTAGAAACAATATAAGGGGCAATAATGGTGTACAAAAAGCTAGAAGCCGGCTATTCCAGAAAAAAAATAGCTGGCACATGTAAATTGACTTGGGTAATGCCTTTACTTTTTAAATCATTGGAATTTGTTTGTTTGGGAATCAGTAAGACTTCCTCTTGGGTGTCCTAAGTTGTTATGACTGGAGTCTTCACAAGACAGATCCTGATACTGGTCAGTTTTGAAGAGGTGGAGATCAGAATTTTGCAAATGTTCCTCGTCATACTAGTGGATCAAACTGAATGCCAGATCCAGACCTTCCTGACATTGAACTTTGTAGTTTGAGAGTACATCTCTGTTTAAGAAGCAGAGTGGGCACATAGGTCTATCCCATACACCCCATAGTATCCTTTGGACCCCTCCTTTGGACCACATTTGCAGCAGTTCCTCACAGGATCATGAGCTGATGTGAAGATGTAGTTAACCTTTATAAAAGGAAAACACAGAGTTTACATAGCTTCTAAGGATTTTTTTCACTGTTAAGAGGCAAAGGCTGTTAAAAGGCTCTTCAAGGCAGCTCTGCCTTGAGGATGCTGTTCCCTCTGCACTCTGCCCCTGCCTAAAGCTATTTTCTCTGGAATACTTTTAACTTTACATGCTCTTGGGTGGGGGTTATAGTGGGGGGGGGGGTTGCCAGAAAAGCTTTATCAGGGGGTTTCACTATTCTTCAATTCAGCACTTTCGAAGGAAAAAAGAAGTGAAAATATGCCAGGGAAGTGCAGCTGAAGTCTATAAGGAAGCCATGTGAAGGGCTGAAATCTGACTAAGTTTAGGGGCACTTGTACCCAATACCTAATATCTAATAGGACACTTGGTTAAATAACTATACTGTGATCTATGTCCTCTGCTTAATTATTCTTTTACCAGTTTTTAGTATAGGCAGATGCAAATTACGGACATCTAAGCCCTTAAGTACAAAGGCCCTGTTTCAGCAAGGTACTTCTGTATGTGAATGAAGACTCCTGACATGCTTCAAATTAGGCACGTTCTTTAATACCTTGATGAAGCAGGGCTTACACAAGGAGAAACAGCATTCCTTTCCACCCCGCACCTTCTCTCCCCTTTTGTCTGCATAAGAGAGAGAACTGATTGAACACACCTGACTGTAGATGGGAATGCAAAGAGTGGTGTAGGCTTGCATTCCTGGCAGCTATTTCTACCCCAGGAAGGACATACTTAAGGGGGGCACTATTCTCCCCTTCCCTTCCCAAGCATTGGTATGTCGCACTGGAAAATAGAATAGTAAACTACATGTGTAGCAAATGCCACTTTTCAGTGTTTTGCCTTCAAGGCTCTAGAAGTACATCATGCACAGCATAATTACTATTCAATCTAGAACTCTTTGCAATTCACAGCCCTCTGAAGGTCATAATTGCTCTCTGAAGAAACGCAGTGTTTTCCTGTCAGTATCCTCAGATTTCTTGAGGGTTTTAAAATGTGTAAAACATCACATAAAAGGCCCAGCTGGCCAGTGAAAGCATGTCCTAGCCAAAGCTGCTGTGGACATTTTCCTTTGTCTAGGGCCATTTTTAGTGGTACTAGTAGCAGTTGCTTTCAGCCGAGAAAGGCCTTAAAAGTAAAACCAATGCTAGAAGACTGAGTCACAGGCCACATAAAGCAATTGCAAACTTCTGGTACAGTGCCCCATGGCAGCACTGATTGGTCTGGGGCATGCCAAAGGCTAAGGGGAAAACACACATGACTTGCCCTTAGGTTGAAAGAAGGATTACTGCCTCCCTTTCCCCATGGTGTATGGAGCCTTAATTATGGGACTTCCACCATATGCAAAGTGAACTTTAGTGACTCTCCATAACACAAACTCATTTTTTTCATTCTAAAGTTCTGCTACATTCTGGAGCCAGTCAGATTTACAGAAGAGGACCCATTTGCAAGAATAAAAGGATGTCTACCACTAAAAAGATGAATAGATCATCCTTTCCCTTTCCCTCTCAACCCACAGAGAATAAATGTATATTACCCTCCCAAAACATAAAAAACTTCACATCAAATCCTGCTCTGGCCCCATTGTCATGGGACCTAGCATTATCAATGGGATCTGCTGACCAATACCTACAGGCAGCGTTTTAACTGGAAATCTTTTAACATCTCAAGCATTTATTTTAAAGTTGGCTTTTGCAATTCCTCCATCCCAGCAACTGTGAAACACATCTGATATTACAAAATTGCTGCCAGTGGCAGATGCCCATGACATCACTTCAGTTAGAAATATCAACACACATTTTATTTGTGAGTTCTTCTGTATGCTAATTAGGCATTCATAGAAGAGGTGAGGAGGCCAAAGGGCTGCAGTAGTCACAGTTTACAGTAGACAACAGTTAGCCAGAGCTATTTCCTGTTCTGAAGAGAAAACAACAATATTTCAGCTGAAATACAAAAATCAA